AGCACATCACTCCTATGTATATGCTATTTGATATTGTCCATTACAACGTAGGTAAAACAATAGTGGAGCTTAAACTCATGATGTCTGTCTTTCCTTCCTTCCTTCCTTCCTTCCTTCCTTCCTTCCTTCCTTCCTTCCTTCCTTCCTTCCTTCCTTCCTTCCTTCCTTCCTTCCTTCCTTCCTTCCTTCCTCTTTCTCTTCTTTCCCTTCCTTCTTTGAGTCTTGGTGATTTGCTGCACAAATCAAGGACTTAAATGGGAAGAAATCAGTCTGGACATGTTACAAAGTTATTCATTTATGGTGTTGGCAAAGGGATGGAAATAAGGTAGCATTTCATTAGGATATTTTAGTATATTTTTTATTATATATTTTGACATGTACATATCTACCTATATATCAAGCACAGTAGAAGATCCGTTTTTGTTTTTATGAAAACCAAGTTGAAATGTGATGGAAAGACCCTAAAGGGAGTCACCAAGAAATGGTGTCTAGGTATGAGCAACAACTGAAAAGACTGAGTAAGGAATACCAGCTGACACTTTCTGTGTTTGATTGCTTTGCTCTTTAAATTAAAGAACAATTTAAATTAAAAACTGGAAATTTTACGTAATGAATTTCCAAACATGGAGAATACTAATCTGTGTGTGTATTTATGTTAAAATAAACTTTGATTTAATTATTTCTAATGATTATTTGCCTGACTTTTTCTCCCATTAAGTGACAAACTTAATTGCTCCAAACCCAGTGGATAACATGGCTTTGACTTTATTTAGACATATTATTTCCAAAATTTATGTTAACTAAATTTTAGGTGAAATGAAGTAGGAATGTTATAAGCCAAACCAGATCATTGATCCCTTTAGATGTGTCTCTCCATACAATTGAATTTGACTGAATTCAAGATAAAAAAGAAAGTAGCTAGTTCATTTCTGTCATTGACCTTATTGTACAATTTATTTATTTTAGAATCTAATGGCTGATTTCCAACAACTCTTGCTTACATTTTGTTATGTATGTAGTCCAGGCATGATAGATACTTCTAAGAAAAAAACATCCAAATCCTCTTTCTTCAAAAGTTTGTCTTGAATGTGACTTTATAGATGCTTTTGAGGATCTTTTTTCATGTATGGGCATGTGTGCACATAAAATGATTACTTAGATATTATTATACATTTTAAAACATGTTTTAGCCTAAAAATAAATATATGTAGTTATAAAACTACAAGAATTTAGTAATACTTTAAAGAGATCTTTAATTAATGAATGGTGTTAATTAAAACCTAAATATCAGTAAATATTTTAAGCTAAATTTTCATTTAATGTAGTCCAGTATACTTTTTAAGTAATTTAATTTTCTCACTGACCAACTTTCAAGTAGTCAAGTAATCCCTTCACTTATTAAACTTATTAAAATGGTATTTGTAAGACTCATTAAATAGCCAGTACTTTTTATTAGCATTTCACTTATACTTTCTGACTTTAAATCACTCATTGAAATCAATTATTCAGTGACACATGTTCAATTAGAGTTACAAGGCTGTTCTTCTAACAGGACAAATCCTCTTGAACACCATAGAAATCAAAACACGAAGAAATACAAAAATGTTAAGATATCTGGGCTTGATTTTCTTAGGCCTTTCTGTACTTTATTTTACATCTTCCTTGGGTTTAACAAGTTTTATTTGCTAAATAAACAATTGTATCATCTCAAGGAACTTGGGGATATCATCCAGGTTGATTACGACTGCGTAATGACCAGAGACATTTGACAGGATGTTCATTGGACTCTTTTTCTTGGCAATGGAATACCCGAGGCCCCATTTATAATCTCCCTAGGAACCCTAGAAGTTACTCATGGGAATCTGACCTACCCATCCACGATGCTATGTAATTTAATTGGACTCCTCATTTCTTGGCTCTTAGTATTTAAATGGCCTCCTTTGCAAGTTATGAAAACCTTCAAAATTTAGGGAATTCTGAATTCATTTAATTTCTTTTAATCTTTTGGGGGCCATGATACTTTTGAAGACATAATAATGCTATTTGATTAAAATTTGAATACCTCCCATGGTTTTATCTATTTGGCCAAATCTTCAAAGATTTTTCTACTGTCAGAGAAGCATTTGAGGTTTCACATCAGCTTAAACAAAATCAGAGTGGTGGTTCTATGACTTTACCACCAAGAGCACACACATGCTGGAGGGAATTCATTAGGGCTATTTGTTCAGTCCTACTGTTTTGATTACGTAAATACTCTGTCAAAAAAGTGTCTTCTCTATGAACTTAGATACTATGCCTATGCAGTGAGAATAGGGGCGGCCTTATTACATTCTAAACTTCTCTAATTGTAACCACCAGATTGGACAATAAATTTCCTTAAGCCCTCAGCCCTTGGATCACTTTAGAAAAAAATCAGCATCACTGATTTCCTATGAAAATATATGAAACATTAATACAGTAGGCACATAGATCAAAGATGCTTCAGCAGTAAGCTATATTAAAAGCATAATGTGCCTACAAGAGAAGCTATGACATGCAACCATGTGGCAGAGGGGGACAAGGGGAATGACCAAGAGGAGAGACAAGTCAGGGAATGCCATAAAATGCATCATTATTTCAATCCCACCTTTATATCTTTCTGCATTTTGATGGAAAATGGCTTGAAAATGATATTTTATTTTACTGCCTATTGCTAGAAAATTTACTACACAAATCATAACTGAAATAGCAATCAGAAGAGCTGAAAATATACTCATAAATCTTAAAAATGGTTTCCTGAGGTGAGGTTTGGGGTAGGCTAGTCTAGTCAATTGTTCATAATATGAGGCAAGGAGGTGGTAGTTCTACTAGTAAATCTATTCAACAAAGTCATTTCAGAAACTTTACCAGGCCTTTGAGATTTTGCTTTATCTAGATCTCAAGTAATTATATTTTTCTTCATGGCCATCCTTACATGCTACTTAAATTACCCTACTTATTGCTCAACCTCTTGAAAGTATTTTCCAACTAAAATGGAAAAATGCTTTTCTCACAAGGAAAAACTTATGCCACTGGGCCATATTTATACACATAAATTGAAGTAGAAAACTGAACATTTTAAGTCAAATACATTTGACCTTTGTTTTTGGGAAAGAGTTTGAGTTATCATAGTTCCAATTGTATTTGCTAAATGGTTTCACTTGAAACAAGCTCCGAAAATGCTCGTCAGTAATGATTAGCTTTGAGGGACATATGTCTTCTGTACACCAGTATTTTCATTTTATAGTTGTTTTCTTTGTTAACATCTGTGTTAACAACATCCACTCATCTGATGGATGGGTCACAGCTGTAGTTATTAGCATAGGAAAGCAGACGTTAATCTAGAGTAGAATATAGGTTTCCTTGTACAGGGAGAGTGAAATGCTAAGTGAACCCGAGTCCATTATTTATGTCTGATGACTAGAAAATTCATGCCATCGAACGATCTCATTTATGGGCCTGGAACAGATGCAGGGCTTAAGACAAAAGCACAAGCAAAAGATAAATGCACAAAAGGGTATGTGTGTAGAAATTGTTATGTTTTATGTTGAAAATATCTAAAAAGTCAGGTAAAACTCTTACATGAAAATCACATAGATACTACTTCAAAAAAACAGCAGTTTTTTCTTTAAAAAGTACATTAAAAGTTATCCTTTAATAGGCAAGTAAAATTTTTTTCTGAGTAATCTCTTCTCTTCTTTTTTTAAGCCAGTACAACTCTAAACCACTCTGAATTTGTATTGTCCTTTATTTAGCAATTTAGTCAATGGATGTATTTATACTTATTCATAATGCAGACCACTGTTCGATTGGTGATCTCCTAGACTATCTTTTATATAGGCTTTCTAAAAACACACAAAATTATTTGAGAAAATTTGGTAATTGGGAGAGCTCTCCATTATCAAAGTAAAAAATTCAGCAAAATATAAAAATAACCATGACAATTAAGGATTAAAAAAAATACGAGAATGCTTTTACCATAATTCAGATTCCAGGCAAGAATAGTCATCTGTAGAATTATCTGAAAAATTACTTTTATACTTTAATTCATTCAGATAATATATGTTTTGGCTTCATTGATAGTTCTTATTATTTTCATATAAATTATGATCAACTCCAATATTTATGTATTTTAGTGAAGGTGACAATATTTTATTGCTTTCATGTTTTTTTTAACTTAACACTCCTTTGGGTTATTAATGAGCCCAGTTGTCTGCTGTGGTTTGAATTCGCGCTGTGAATACTTAACTGCATAGTTCCACTTCAGTGTGGAATTCATCATGGAGCTGAGGGTCCTCTGATTTGCTTCCCACAATTTGACAAGGGATCAGAATGATGACTTCTGTGACCAATTCTGTGTGAGGGAGTCAGCACCAATCACACGTGCTCCCAGCCCGGATCAGTAGAAGTTATCATTAGTGTTGTTCTTCATTTTGAAATTAAGAAGACAGCTTGGCCTCCCCTCCTGGAATCATTTGAAATCACCCACCGACTTGCCCGTGCCCAGAGTGATAGCTCTGGGTGTCCGATGTGATCGTGGCTAAAGTAGCCTAGAGCTCCGAAAACAAAATAGAGCCACTGAAAGACTAGGATAAACTAGGATGAAAATCATATCCTCAATTTTCAGAGAAAAAAAATCCGTTTCCCATGAAGCACAAGCTAATGCTCTGCTGATGTAACTCATTTTCTGAGCTAGAACACTTACTCGTAGATGCAGCGCCGAAGACGGTCGGTGGCATTGATAGCAAATAGGTAAGAACGAACCATAAGTAACCTTTTGTGCCCAGAATAGAGCCTTTTAATTTGAATATTGTGTAAGTGATGTCTGAAGTCCGCTGAGAGGAGTAAATATAATGGAAGTAAGGAATAACACCATTTCTAAAAAACAATTTGTCCATCTGACTTGTATTAGTTAAAAAAAAAATTCTCACATCTGTGATAATCTTTGGGGCTGAGAAATACAGCACAACAAACCCACTTACCCCAAATGCAGTGGCTTTTCATTGTTGTTGCTTTGATTTTAGCTTATGTTTCACCAGTGAGAGCTATTTCAGCAGGTTCTACTGTTAAATCAGTTCAGTGCAGAGTTCTTCCTCTGGTGAGAGAGAAAGTTTGATTGAAGGTCTCTTTCAACCTTGAAAGGGTCAGTTAAATTTTACCCCAGCCACTGGCTTTATTGTCTGTGTTGCCTTGAACTGTGTTTCAAATAATAGAGCCTCTTCTCTACTTTTAAATCTAGTACTTTCTAGTGCGTGCTGCTTTTGTTTTTCCTATGAGGAAGAGTGCCAAAGGCAACCTTTAAAGTAATCTTGCATGTTTTTTTGGAGTGAGAAAAATAGATATATACATACAAATCAAACCTTAAGCACCATCATTATTCTTTTAGCCCTACGAGAACTGCACACTTCAGTTAAGGAAAAAAAATGTTTTTTGGAGGGGAAAGCTTGATGCCTCATTTTTACCTTTATACAGAATTCAGTTGAGTCAAGGTACCCTGATTTTATAACTGATAAAGGGGAGATGTGTAGTGGAACGCTCTGCCTAGTTTTAGGAATCGTATCTCTATCCCTTGTGGCTAAGGGCAAGAGATGACCTTTGGAATGCCAGACACAGGAGACAAAGCTTGTCTCAGGTAGCAAATGCTGCCTCAGTTCCTCTCCCTGCTCCCAGAGCTTGGTTGGAAGTCAATGATGGGTAAGACCCCTCACAGCAGGGGGAGGCAACCTAAGCCAGACTTGATCACTTGGGAGGCCTTCATGGAAGGGGGGCTGCAACAAAGAGCAATGGACTCTCGCCCTCCGGCTTTGACATAGCCCGAGTCCCCATGTCTTCTGGGAGAAGTGCTTCCTGGCTCTAATCCCCTTAAGCCTGAATACCTGTTGGGGAGAGGTGCAGCTCCTTGCCGGCTAGAGCATGTCCTGGGGAAAAATCTGGCACCACAAAGACTTCCTGATAAACCTGTGAAATCTGCTCTGCTGAGTGCTTTCATTCATATAAGGGTCCAAGAAGACATGAGTATGTCTCCCAAAGTTTCTGCAACTCTCTTCCTGACAGACACTGACTCAGACTCTGAAGCCCTCAGATCTCTTTGTAATGTTATCTATTGTTTGATGCTTGCCTCCCTGTATTTCTGTGTATTACAACCTGATAAAAGGCTTTGAAGGAGGGCGCTCGGGGCCTTTTTCACCTTGGAGAAACTGGCCGCTGCTGGCCTTTGTCTCCCCTGAGAAACTGGCCTCAGCCCACGCCTTCATCCCCAAACAGATCTCAGCATCTCTCGGCCATATTTATTCATTCATGCGTATCTGTGGCACTGGGGGGACTCAAGAAAGAAGTCACCCCCACAGAGATGGTGTGTGAGATATGCAAGTTAGTTAAATCTATATTCTTTGGTTACAAATCTGTTTTTTTCTTGTCTTTTTTTTCTTGTTGTTCAATTAGAGTTGTCCCCTTTCTCCCCCATTACTCTCCCCTGACCCACCCACCCCACTCCCCTCTTTCAAAGGTTTTGATTGAACATGTTCATATTAGCAATAGTAGTACAAACCCCCTTCCTTCCTCCACCCTCATTAATCTTGCCTGAATGCAATCCCCCGAAATTCCATGATAAAAGAACTTTAATTCTGCTTTAACGTTTTCAGTGCCACCATAATTTTTCAATTTTTTGTTGAAAATAAAATTCCTCAGGGAAAGTTAATGTTTTAAAAGTTATCAGTCATTTTTACTAGTATCAAAATTAGCTTTGGATCCATGTCTGAGGTTTGATGTCAATTAAGGAGGAAAAATCATGTCAAGTGGGGAGTGGGAAAAACAGCTATGTGACTTGGAGTACAAAAGACCAATATTTCATTAGCAATGTTAATTGATTGCAGCCACAAATCTGGAGGCTTCTTCTAGGATTGGCATACAGCTTGAATGTTCACGTGGAGAAGAGGTTTCCTCTTGCCCAGGTTGCAGACTAGTCCTCAGATTTAGAGTCAGGCAGTGTGATGTTTCTTAATCAAAAGCTATATTGGTGGCACTAGAAACTTCAAATTATGAATACCTGGTATGATTTTCCAGGCACATGTGTCTCCTAGTCAGTTAGCAAAGAATCTCCTGTATCCACTGGAAGATCCTCTGAAGACTATGCTCTCTTCCATAGATCTGGTTCTCCTTGGAAAGACCTAAAGAGTCTGCCCAGGGCAAAGACAGAGTAATTTATAGCAATAGTCATGACATTACTTTTTCTTCTTTCTTTCTTTCTTTCTTTCTTTCTTTCTTTCTTTCTTTCTTTCTTTCTTTCTTTCTTTCTTTCTTTCTTTCTTTCTTTCTTTCTTTCCTTCCTTCCTTCCTTCCTTCCTTCCTTCCTTCCTTCCTTCCTTCCTTCTTTCTTTCCTTCCTTCTTTCTTTCCTTCCTTCCTTCTTTCTTTCTTTCTTTCTTTCTTTCTTTCTTTCTTTCTTTCTTTCTTTCTTTCTTTCTTTCTTTCTTTCTTTCTGTCTTTATTCTTTCTTCCTTTCAACTTTCTTATTTTCTTTTTTTAAATTACGTTTATTAGGGTGACATTGGTTAATAAGATTATATAGGTTTCAGATGTACATTTCCTTGATACATGATCTGGGTATTACATTGTGTGCCCACCACCCAAAGTCAAATAATCTTCTGTAACTATATATTTGATCCATTTTCCCCTTTACTACCCACCTACCCTCTTCCCTCTGGTCATGACATTTTCCATTGCTGGTGACACTTGAATATTTCCCCTACCTTTGTCTCTTTTCTTTCTGGATGAAATCATGCATGTTCATTCTTCTAACCACTAGTACTGTGCTGGTGATTTTTCAACCAATATCTCAGACAAGACATCTCCTCTGATCTCCAAATTCATCACAGACATGTTCGTTTGGCCATCTAACAGGCATCTTCACATGAACATACCTAAAAGTAGACTGATTCAGACTTCCACTCAGACTTGGTATTCCCTACCTGATGTCTGTTCTCCGTCTTAGTAAAAGTGTTAGCTTTTACCCAGTGTCTCCAGCCAGGAGCCTAGAAGTCAGCCCTGGTTGATTATTGGTCCAACTCCCATCTCCACCATCCAATCCTTTAGCAAAGCTGTTCGAGCAGAGAGCTTTTCTTTTTATTGTCTTCGCTGCAATTGCCCAAATTGAGGCTGTCATAATCCCACATTTGAGATGCTTCTATGGCCTTGGAACTGACCTTCTTACTTCCACTTTCCTTTTTTCTCTTTTAAGTTAAATTAAATCATGACCTCTCCTGTACTTGGAAGAGGTGTCACACTTGAAATAACACCCTCATCCTAGTTTCCAAATCTGCATTATCTTTCCACCACCTCTTTCTCCAACTTCATCTTCTGCCAAACTCCTCCCACTCAGTCCTCCAGCCTCACTGAATTTTATTTCCAGTTCCTTGGATATTACAAGTAGTTTTTCACCTTGGGAACTTGGCACATGCTCACTTTGCTTGTAAAGTATTTATGCCCACTTTTTGAATGGTGGTTCTTCTTTTTAAAATCTCAGAACAAATTCACACAGAAGTCCCAGCTGACCAACCCACCCTTTGTCTACCTATTACCATCCACCTAAGCATCACATTTATTTCCATCCCTGTGATTTCCACTAGGCCATAAACCACAGGACTTTGGAGAAGATGTTCATCTTACTCATTGCTGTCATTCAGTTCCCATCATGCTGCCTGGCACTTGACTAATATTTGGATATTGGATGAAATGAATGACAATTTGTCTTGATTTTACCAATGGCTGCAACTATCCTGAAGTCTGTCTGCATGTATCTTTGTATTTTTTAAAGCTTCTGCTGTTTCCCATTTATTTTTGTACTTCTTGGTGAACATCTTTCTTTTGGGTTTCTGTGAGTTACCTTGGGACATTCTCCAGGTTTGAATCCATGGGTGTTCATCTGATTAATTCATTTACACTTATTTGTGAACACTTTAAATTAAAGGCAGTCTGTTGGCTAATGTGGGGAATAGAGCTACGAGAAAACAATAGAGTACTTTTATACCACTGGCACATTTGGGGGTGAGCATTAAGGCAGAGATTAAAGGAAGAAAGGGAAGTAAACAAACAGTGAATACATTCAAATAAGGTGAGGACAAAAGGGCATTTCTTTAAATGAAAAGAAACCACGGTAGTTCTTTAACTACCGTGGTTTCAAAATGTCTCACTGCATTCCTTGTATCTGACATAGTACGTAGTCCGAATCCTGAATATTCTTGTTTCTGGGATCTACATTCATGTTTTTCTACACTCTGGCATTTGTTGTAATTCTAGAACTGAATATAGTAGTCTCCTTTTGTTATTTTCATACAACATCATATATCAAACTTTCTTAAGAATTCTAGCTCAGTTGTTCAAGTGGCAATTGCTTTGATGAAAAAGAAAAGATCTAGAGAAGCTTGTTTTATAACTTCAATGATACAGATAATGGACAAGTCATCTGGTTACAATATATTATTAAATATGCTGTAATGATGCCAATGTCATCCTGACACTATGCCCTTGACAGTCATCCATATTAGCAGCAACAATATAATTTTTTATTAAATTATCCCACCCTAGTCTCTTATGAATAAAATTTAGTTCAGCTTTTAGTATAGTAACTCTTGAAAATATTTTTTAAAAGCTCAACTAAACTTTTAGAAATATTAAGCCAAAGCTATTGCTTTAACACAGTTAATCCCCTTGCCTTTTCCTTCTTTATATGAAGAAAAGTTCAGTATTGTTACAATTCATTATCACTTCACATTATTCTCTTTGCTTATTCAAATATGATTCTGCAAGAAAACCATCCTGAAAGTGTTCATGTCTATTAACCTTGGATCCAAATTCAATGGGCAAGTGGTTATTAAAGAGGAGTAGAAGTTTAATTGCATAGCAACCTCACCCCAGCAAAAACCAGAAACACACCAACAAAAACAAGGCTGAAAAACCTAAAGAATAAAATCCTAAGCAATTGAATTCTGCAGTATCAAATTATTGCTAATAATAAAAAAGATGAATGCTTTATTTAAATCCATATAGGTAGAAACAAAATATTTCTGATTATATACTATAAAAAATTAATGG